TCTTCTTCTTCTTCTTCTTCTTCTTCTTCTTCTTCTTCTTCTTCTTCTTCTTCTTCTTCTTCTTCTTCTTCTTCTTCTTCTTCTTCTTCTTCTCAGGTGGGGCAGTGCCCCAGCGCCCCCTATGGACCAGCCGCCACTGTCATGCTCCCTGAACCACTCTTTCACAGTTTTGGCATTGTAATCTTAGAACATACTTGTGTCATCAGGGAAGAAAAAAAGTCCATTGATAGAATGAGCTGATTGTTTAAAAATATTCAAGTAGTCAGCTGACCTTGTTCTATGGCCATATAACATTGCTGAAARTAGACACAACTGCAACAACCCCAGATTATAGACTACCCCCACAGGTTTGTACGGTAGACACTAGAGATGATGGATGCATCACTTCTGCTGCAGTGCTGATGCACCCATCACTCTGGAACAGAGTGAATCTGGACACAATTGTAATTTCCCTTTGGAATCAATAAAGTATTTTAAAATTGAATTGTATTGAATCAAACCACATGACCCTCTTCCTTCCTTCTAAAATGTTGTTTCCATGTGAACACAAGGCTAAAATATTAAAAACTCTTTTCCTTWTAAATAAATACTACTTCTATGGAGCCTGAGTCAAAAGTCTCCCATAAGTTCACCTCTGCTTTGTGGTCACAAGGTTTCCTTTTTCACTTCTGCTCACTAACWAAAACAGAACAAAGTAGCTGAGTAATGCTGAGTCACAACAATGAATTAGCACAATTTGTTGCTGAACATGACGCTGCTGTTTCTGTGCCACACTGACTTAACTTGTCACATACCAGCACACATTAAACATTTGTGTGCTTCCAAAATAGCTAAGTCATTCTGTAAACCCTAAGTCTTACTCAGCTGTTTCCATTTCATTTATTCTTTCACTCTTCTGTGTTTCCAGGAAAATTTTAACGCCATATAATCACTACATTTATTTACACATAACTGCTGAGCGTACCTTCATACAGCATTTGTTCATCATTTTAATGTCAAAACATTTACACACAGATACAATTAAATACAGTTATTTAAAAAAACTGATGGCAGCATGATCAGTCTTATCCAAATATAACTTGTTCCGCATGATGACCAATGATGGGTTTGTAAATTATACATTTTTCGGGGAACAATCACATGAAACGAGTTTCAGAGGGTATAAGTGAATCATGAATGGTGTGGTAGCATTTACAGGCAATTGCAAAAGCATTTAACAGCAATAATCAACAACAGCAACCTCAATCAAAAAAAAAAAGAAAAAAGTATTTAACAGTCTGTTATCATGATGAATCTGAGTTCTGTAGATCATTTATCCTTTGTATGCATGTATAGCAATGCTAAGTGGTGAGGAGCAGTCTTGCTAAAGGCCCTTTGGCACTAAAACATTTTGGACAACTTACCCTGACTTGTGAAAATTTTGTTAGGACTATTTWACTCATATGGTCCACATATTTGGTTGATACAATTGTTAGTAAGTATCAAATCATGTATAGGGACAAAAGAAGCTTCCAGTAGATTTTTTTTATTTATCTTCAGCTGATGCATGTTTAGTGTTGGACAAACCTTTCATAAGTTGGTATAAGTTGTCTAAAATGTCATAGTGACAGGGTCTTAACGTTGTGGACCCCATGTTATAACTCCCTCCCTCGTGGTGAGGGGAGTCAGGCARTGACTTCAGGTCATCTTTTGGCATTTCTGGGTGGCTTTTTTTAAATACTGCAAGTTATTTATCATTTTACTAGTTACTGAGGCAGAAATTTATGTACATATTTTCAGAAATGGAGGAAGATGTTCTTGCCCCCACCAATTTTCTCTGGCTCAATGTAGCTGAGCTACCAATAATCGTGAATTGTCAGTTAAAATATACCTGATGACACAGCACTGTCAGTGATATCTCATATCTTACCCCACCTGAGACACTGACACTGGATCAGCAGTATTAACTATAATGACATCTTTGTTATTTGTTATATTTGATATTGTACWGACAATGTCTGTCAGTATTGAGGGTCGAACACTAAAGCAACAGTCCTTTCCAGTCCATCTGGCTTCTGATGACACATTTTAATGTYCTTAAACTGTGTAGAGCTTCATCAACCAGAGTTTTTCCCTCRTCAATCCTACTACTTTTTAAAAATATATATTTTTAGCTTTTAATGGTGACTGGACTTCTTGTCTTACTGCAGTGTTTTTGCAGCCTGTAGAAATCCTCATCACTTAAGACCAACTGAAACATGAAGGTTCCTAAAATTTTAATGAGACACTGTGAGGTGTTCTTGGAAATGCATAAACATTCCCATTAAATGTGTGCAGTTTCTCACATTTAGGTTTGTKTCTGAAACAGGATCTGTTGGTGTAATGTTACAACAGTACAGTGTTAAGATGTCATCTTGTTAAAAACTATGGAGAATCCAGTAATTTGAAACAGAACAATTCTTAACTAAAARCTTAACTTGTTCAATCATCTGGGAGTTTATCTGTAAAAATATTTTTACATTCTAAAGGTTCATTATTTTAAAAAATGTCTAATGATTTTTTAAAGAAAATATTTCATCAGTGACAAAATTTGTCTGGCTTTTTTGCAAACCATTAAAATGGGTATACCTGGCTTTGATACCATCCCCAATCTTAATTCAGTCAATTTATTTAATTCAGTTGGAGGAAATMATGTAATTTAACTGTGTATCATACAAGTCTTATCCTTCCTCCGTGACTCTTTGAAATTTGTGAAGTGACGTTATGTCATGAGCTCCACCTCTGGGGAGTATAAATACAGGTAGCCCTTGCTACAGTTTCACAGCAGGGAACAAATCCTCAAAGAGTTCTTGCTTCAGCAGTGTTTGAACGGAACTTCTTCTTTTGTCCAGTTTTTTCTGACAACCAGTCAGCAACAAAAACACCAGCTGAAATGGATTCTCAGGTGCGTCAGAACTACCATCGCGACAGCGAGGCCGCCATCAACAAGATGATCAACATGGAGCTGTTTGCRTCTTACACCTACACCTCCATGGTAAGAAACTACCTTTTTATAMCGTAATATTTAGTGTAACATTATTATGTTGAAATTATTTCTCAAACACGACTTTAAGTCAAAAATGTTGAAAACAGTTTCGAAACAAAAATATTCATAATTTGGTATGTCTATCAAATATGCTYCTTTTCAAAGCTGTTTTCATACACATTGACCACTGAATACCAGGTTACCCAACAATGTGTTGGAGCCACACATCAAAGTACTTAGAATTTATGCTCTCACAATWTTTGGGTGAAAACAACCCTTCCATTTTAACCAGAGGTGAAAGGAACTCCTGAGTTGTTTTGTGATAAAACTTATTAAAAAGACCATAGTGGTACTTTAAAGTGTTAAAATAACAATAAATTATAAATAGATAATTTATGAATAAATTTTATATCGAGGTCAATGCAGCTACTAAAATACATGCTGTATTTTAACTTTCTTCAATAAGGTCCAAAATAATTAGCAACTGTATTCTGTTATAATTTCAGCTAATGAATAGTGGACGTTTTGATGTGTTATCTGTATAAAGTAGTGTAAAGAAAACCAAGCTTTTAAGAAATGTCAAATGACTAGGTCGATGGATTACGGCTCCTCCTGCTTTCAGGGCACGAAGCTGCAAGAAGAGTGTGAGGAATAACGCCTGGGCCTTCCTGAAGGTGTCTGTATCGCTGGCATCTGAGGGGTCATCTGGGTGACCRTCAGCTAACAAAAACAGCCACTCAATCTCTTTTCATCCAAACAGTTCGCAATTCAAAAAATGAAAATTCCATTTGTTTAGTGCAGGGTTATTCAACTAAATTGCTCCGGGGGCCACAGTTACTGCAGGCCAACAGCTCAGGGGCTGAACATCCAGCATTTAAAGCCATTATGTAAATAAACCAAGTATTACAAAAATCTGTTACCTTTGAAATAGTTTATTTTGCTGCATTTAAACATGGATACAACATACAGAACCCTATAAAAGTAGTGATAATAAAACAACAAAAACAAAAAGAAGACATTTTGCCTCCTATTTAACACAAATAATATTTTGACATCTATGACTTGCCAATGTTTTAAATCAATTTAATTTTTATTTTCACAGTTTTATCTTCAACTGCTTGTAGTTTTAACTGTCTTGGGTGTTCATAAAAATGTTTATCAGCTTCTAGCCAAGATTCTGACAACTCTGTAGATACCAAACATGTCTATGTTTAACCAAAAGACCTTGTAGAAATTAAAGCAGAAAACTGGAGGTTTGGGCTTAAAGAGATGAATGAACCAACTGGTGGGCCGAACTTTGGTCACTCACCGGATGTCAGTTGAATAGCCTTGCTCCAGTGGGCCAGTCAGTGTCAGGGTCAGGGTCAGGGTAGTGACTCTTAGCCAAGTCAAATAGGTGGGGATCTGACCTTGGGCCACCCAGAATAGCCTGGACTGATTGCAGTAGAAATCACTCATTGTGTTCTGATGGATAGCACTTATTGATCAGAGGGGTCAGAGGTCAGTCTCAACAGGGTCAATGCAGCTACTATCTAAAATTCCAACATGCTGTATATCAACTTTCTTCTATGAAATCTTAAAGTAATTAACATAATTATTATAATTTCAGCTAATAAATGATAAACATTGTGATGTACAAACTGCACAGAAAGTGCAAAGAAACAGAAAGAAATGTCAAACTGCTGCCAGGGGCAGCTGATTACTCTTCAAACTGACCACTGAATCTCCATCAAATATCACCAACTGTGTTTTTCACTACATGTCAAGCAAAGTGAGCTAATGTCCGCTTTCATCTACTTCATTCTCCCACTCTCTCACTCAACAGGCCTTCTACTTCTCCCGTGATGATGTGGCCCTTCCAGGTTTTGCCCATTTCTTCAAGGAGAACAGCAACGAGGAGAAGGAGCARGCTGAGAAACTGATGAACTTCCAGAACAAGAGGGGAGGACGCATCTTCCTCCAGGATGTCAAGGTGAGCACAAACTGGAAGCCCAAACCTGTCATCTTTAGTTACTGATTTGTTCTAACAACTGTTCTGGAAAAACTTGATTCAGAATGTAAAAAGTATATTTGGGTTTCCCTGCAGAAACCAGAGCGTGACGAGTGGGGAAGTGGTCTGGAGGCCATGCAGWGRGCCCTGCAACTGGAGAAGAACGTCAACCAGGCCCTGCTGGATCTGCACAAACTGGCCTCTGACCATGTGGACTGTCATGTAAGTTACATTAGGAGTGTTGAGTGTCAAACTTACCACTTAAACTAAAATGACTGGTTTACTCAAGCTAATAAACTATCTCCTGTTTTCAGCTGTGCGACTTCCTTGAGAGTCATTACCTGAATGAGCAGGTGGAGACCATCAAGAAGCTCGGAGATTACATCACTAACCTGACCAGCATGGATGCCAACACCAACAAGATGGCAGAGTACCTGTTTGACAAACACTCCCTGGGGGGCAAGAGCTAAAGAGTGTCCAGAACAGAGCCTGGAGTGGAAAATTATAATAATCATGCTTCTTCTCTAGTTGAACCAGTAAARCTCATCAGTATATCAGTTACTGCATCTCTCTGAAGATGTAGTGTTACACCACCATGTAGACACTGTTGTACCTCCTGTGRTGATGAGCTGAATAAACATTTTGACCTGGATGTTGATGTTTGTCTCATTGTATGATAGATAGATAGATAGATAGATAGATAGACAGACAGACAGACAGACAGACAGACAGACAGACAGACAGACAGACAGACAGACAGACAGACAGACAGACAGACAGACAGACAGACAGACAGA